TGTCTTGTCGATCCAGCAATCCATGAAAATGCCTTCATTGTGTTCATCTCGTCGGCCCTGGGCCACATGCTGCTCACCTGCATCCTCTGGAGAATGACTAAGAAACACACAGTAAGTCCCGAGGTACAGACACTTTCCTTTCTTTTCTCTCTGCTGGGAGCTGGGAGGGGGCTCTGGGCTGGCTGGGAGCTGGGAGGGGGCTCTGGTGCTGTGCTGGGAGCTGGGAGGGGGCTCTGGGCTGGCTGGGAGGGGCTTTGGCTGCCCTTGCTTGTGAAACAACCTTAAGCTGGTGCTGAAGGAGCCAACAGCAGCAGGTGGAACTGGGAAACAGTCACCAAAATCCATGGTTTACCAAAGCAAGGTGGGGAGGAATCTTCTCATTTCCTACTTTGTGGTTTTACCATAGAATCACAGAATCCCAGAATGGTTTAGATTGGGAGGGACCTCAAAGTTCATCCAGTGCCACCCCCTACCATGGGCAAGGACAACTTCCACTAGTCCAGGTTGCTCCAAGGCCCATCCAGCCTGGACTGGGACACTTCCAGGGATGGGGCAGCCACAGCTTCGCTGGGCAACCTGTGCCAGGGCCTGCCCACCCTCACAGCCAGGAATTTCTCCCCACCATCTAAGTTTTCCTTTAAAGCTGATATGGGAAAACACCATTAGCATCCCATTGGGTCAGGATTGCTGATCCTTTCCCCGTGCCTGTTTCCAAGCTGACATTGCCTCCCCTGCGCTGGGAATCTCTGGTCCTGCAAGCTGGGAGCAGCAGGCAGCGGGAGCTGTTTTCCCTTTCCTCCTGGAATGGCTGTGTGGAGCAGGCTGGCTCTGGCTCTTGTCCTTGGGGAGGGCACTGGGGAGTGCAGGGTCGGCAGTGGGTTTGGTGGAGGATCCACCAGGGGCTCCTGAATCCAAGGCCTGGATGCAGCTTCCATGCTGTGCTGGTGTGTGACGTGTCCTGAACTGCGGGCACTGGCACAGCTGTGGGCAGGACTTCAGGTTTGTGCTGGGCTGTGAGCAGGGCAGGACATGCAGGTTTGTGCTGGGCTGTGAGCAGGGCAGGACATGCAGGTTTGTCTGGGCTGTGAGCAGGGCAGGACATGCAGGTTTGTGCTGGGCTGTGAGCAG